TACTTATATAACTTTACATGTATGAATCCTCTTTCACTTGTCCAAATAAGTAAATCTAAAAATAAATGAGCCGAAATTGCGGTTTTGACATAGGCTATTTCCATCAAGATGGGCATTTACAAATTTTGGGGAGGCTATCTAATGACTTCGAATGGACAAACAAAGTGGTATACACCAAGCATAAATTCTTAGTGAGATCAAAGAAAGAGTTGGCACCACATGGGTTCACGGTCGAAGTGTTGAAAGACAAAGACATCAAAAGTTCAGTAACAAAAATAATTAGTCAAGTGGTTACTTAGCAAATTTCGTGTGAGCCTGAGTGAAGGCTTGAGTAGCTTCTTGAAAAGGATTGGGCTCTGGAAAAGTGGTGTCCAATATTAGCATCCGAGGTTCTGCAAAAGTGGTGCCCAATATTTGATGAAAATGTGGAATATTTGGTTCCATTGAGGGAGAAGCAGTAAAGAAGAGATGAGAAGCTGAGTAAAGAAAACTGGAATATTTTGTTATATGGAGATAAGTTGAGATTGAGAGTGTGAGGGAATAAAAGTTTATATGGAGAGTGAGTTAATCTGTTTCTAGTGAAGCGTGGATGGCATTTGCAAAGCTACTGCTCAAGTGAATTATACTTTAGATTTCAAAGCTTCCCCTCAATATTTTATTAGTTATTAGTATATTTTTTTAAATCTATTAAATAATTTAATTAGAGTACTATTTTAGAAGGAAAAAATATTTTCGGATAGGATTTTTAAAAAGAAAAATATTTTTGGAATAAACTGTGTAAGACATATAAGGAATTGTATAGAAAATGAGAGTACTATCCTAATTGGTGAAATTGGTTTTGGATTCAATGCTCTGCATGTGAGGGGATGAGGTGGTTCGACACTCAAGATATGTACATACATAGATTTCCCAAAGCTTGCTGCTACTTCACAGACTCAGACATCATTGGGGTTGCATGCCTATGCTACCTCACAAACGTAGACATCACTGGGGTTTTGTACGTATATGATGATTTGAATAATCATAGAACTACAATAGCTATAAATTTTATGCAAAATTTCGTCAATCTTAAATTTTGTATGTACCGCATCTACTAATGATCTTACTATTTTTTTTTCCGCAAACAGTGTTCATTAGTTTAGGTGGCTTTTATACATTGTCCTCAACATTGCCTCTCTATTATAAAAATAAAAATGAAGTATATTGTTTGCTATTGAGTTATGTACCAATTTAATTATTGGGAATGAAACTTAGACATTTTATAAATAAAAAAACAGCAGAAAGAATAGATGTACATGCTAAATGTTGAACATGCTAGCACAAGTGACGCACATGCCAAATGTTGAACTTACAGCTAGCACAGGTGAAAAAAAGGACCACCTTTAATGAAAAAGGATGGAGTACGCGAGAGAGAGAGAGAGAGAGAGAGAGATATACTGTATACATACCTTCTTGGATCTAGTCAGTGACATGAAAAAACCTTTAATGAACGAGGATGGAGTACGCAATTATGAAGAGTTATTTACTTGTTTTCCATGTTTTGTCCAACATTTCTCAATTCTGTAAACTCCATCGTATCGTAGCCCTGCTGGCGGGGGCAAAAGAGGAGCGTTTCTCCTTCTTGGATCTGCCCAAAAGAATAATTAGTGTTAGCTAAAACACAAAAGATTCAACCAAAACGATAAAGAAAACAAAAATGACAAAGTTTTTAAGTGAAAAAAATTTGTTCTCGCATCAGATATTTTCTATTTGACAAAGACACAAAACTCACCTGACAACTCGAACAGGGTAACCCTGTAGGCAACTTTCTCTTAGCGCCTGATTCCTCAGCTCTAACTTCTGATCAAAAGTGTGAGCCTTATTTGTACGCTTATTGCCACTAAGGTCCCTTCCACCACTGTACAGTTCAGCACAAAACCAAAGATTAATTAAGACAGAACAGGTAAATTAAAAAATCATTATGAATTAATTAATTATAATAATTATAATAATTAAATATAATTACCTCCCTGTGTAAAGAAACCACTCGCCATGGTCCTCATCATCTTCATAGCCACCAGAGAGAACCACCGACTAGGCCCCATGTTTGGACTGCCCGGCAATCCCAGAAATCATCGGAAATCATCAGAAATCATCTACATGCCCACCAGAGAGAACCCTAAACCCCAACTAGGCTCAAATAACTTGAGTTTAATTAATTAGCACCACAATAAATAAGTCGATAATCTGAAGCCACCATAATACCAAGTTCACATGATGCCTTAAATCTTAAACCTAAAAATTGGTTAGAATATTACCCCGGAGAAGTTTTATGTGCTGGTTCCACCTTCAGTTTTTGAAGCTGACCAGTAAAGAAAATATCCACCTGATCATTCAATGCAATGAGAACAAAAACTCAACAAAATTACTTGCAGCAGAGAGTGCTTCAAAATTTACCTGATCTGCAAGTTCAATGATAAAGAAGTCTTCTGCACCACCAACCAGAAAAGCATTTGAAAAAAGAGGAAGTTGCCTTAAGAAGCTCCTGAGTTTGTCAACTGCATGAATCAACACATTACTGGAGAATTTACAATTTCTTGATTCAGCCTGAGTCATAAAAAAATATAAACCTCGAAAGTAAAAGAAATAGATCTCACTGTACCTGAGAATTAATGAAGAATTCTGAAGTTAATTTTAAATTTCAATGCTAAATATATTGGCTCCTTAATCAATGTCATGGCAAAAGTTCCCCATAAAAGTTAAAAAAAAGCATGAACTCCTGACCTACGGGGATTTTATTCAACCATTTGGGCTCCAAAGCAACATCTTCAAGAAGATACTGAGATACAATGTGGGGTAAAACAACACAAAAATGTAATGAATATTTCGTAAAGTTCTTCAACAAAAGCATATAAATGTCATCTTTATGAGGGCTGATACACGAAAGAGGGATTGAAATCGGCTTGTATGATTATCAATCCTGAAAATATGCAGAGAGTGCAATTAATAAGTTTGTTAAGCTAAATGGAGAATAAATTATATATTGTGTGGAAGCACAAATTAAACCTAGTAACTTTTTTTTTTCGGTTACAATTAAACCTAGTAACTTTGAAAAGGAAGAAAATGAACAAATTTGATTATCCAAATATGCTATTTGTCATTATATATATGGATAGGAGCAGCCAGAAGACAAATGCTATTTGAAAAACAACAATATAATATTTGACATATAATCATATTCTCTGTTTCATCAGTCATTCAAAACTTCCCTTTAAAGCCAATTTTAAACAGAGTAAATAAAGTCCAAAAAGTCAGTTTCCTTGAGATCAAAATCCTTCTGATTTTGTGCGGTAGCCGTAGTGGGTTGGACTTGAACGCACATTAGCGTCACGTGCATGGAATGGATCGAAATCTTAACTTATTCTAATCCTAACCAATTTTTATCAAACACCTTCTCTGCTACTTGAGCTAATTCCTACAGCATACACTGAAATTATGCTTCCAAGAGTATCAAGTAAATCTGAATACACTTAACTATGAGCAAACCATGCGTATATGGTAAATAAAAATTCATGAAAGGAAGTGGAAAACTCATGTACCTGACGGATAACAGTGGTGGATATGCACATTGTGGATGATGACATTGCTTATGTACTGCCATGTGATGCAGCCACAACCCACAATGTGGACATTGGCTCCACGGCAATCAAGGGTCTTGCAGCTGTTGAAGATGAGCTCTTGGGAGAGCTTGATGAGCATGTTGCCAGGGAACACAATCCAGAGAGGCTCAGTCTGTATCACAGCATATCTCAGAGTGCCTGGCCTTGGATTCACAGCATCATCATTAGAAGAGTCTGTGACAATATAATACTCACCACCTTTGCCTCCAAGAGCATATTGGCCAAACCCAATTGCACAATCTGCTAAGCTCTGCCTGTTGTCTGGCCAATTTGGGTCACATTCCCAACAGTCATCTATTGGGTTTTCGGTTAGGCATGAAGAGTCCTAGTATTTTTGGGTTCCTTGCAGCATTTGCCTTCTTGCCAAAGAAGCATAAACCTTCCTGAAAAATAAAGGGAAAAAAGAAGTAAAGATTGATAACTCAGATCTACAAAAGGCTGAGAAACAGAAGAAAACAGTGAAAAAAAAAACAGAGGAGGTAATTAAAGCTATGTATTTTACCTATGAACTTCTTGAACAACAACTTCCGGGTTGGGATGTTGGCCAGGAAGAGTGAGGTTGAGGAATGCTGTGGCGAGAGAAGAAAATGAGCAGAGAAGAAAGAGCAGGGCAATGCAGGTAATACAACAAATTTTACAGCTTGCTATACAATTGCAATACTATATCAAGAGAATGTGGTTCCACCCTTTTATAATAAAGGGCTGTATTGCTATACAATTGCAATACTATATCAAGAGAATGTGGTTCCACCCTTTTATAATCAAGGGCTGTATATGCTATAGAAAGCTAGTCTGTCTGAGCTGTATGTGAAAATGACATAACATGATTTTCAGTAATTGACAGTAATCAAGAACCTTATGCATCTTCAAGGTCAAAGAGAGACTCCAAAAAGGGAATGCAAGATAAGTACAAACAGAAAAAAAAAAAAAAAAAAATTCAGCCACACAGACATCAATTACCAGATTGATGAGCAGCATATTGATTACTCCAGTTCTTTTTCCTTAGATCTTCCTCCCTGTAAAAACAAACCAAACTCAATTTCTGATTTCCTTCTCAATTTTCGATATGGAAAATGAATAAACCAACCTAGAAAACCAAAAGAATGTTAAAACCAACCTTTTTTTTCGAAACCTAGAAATCCCTTTGAGCTAAACCCGTGCGATGAGAAGAAGGATGAAGCGCAGCTGGAAAGATGGCTGAACAAACGAAGCAGATGAGATAAGATGAATTAGCAAGGGTAGAGAAATCTGAGAATAAGCTATGCATGCTTACCTTGAAAGTACCCATGTCTGAGAATTAGAGAAAGAGATTGAAACAGAGAGAGAGCTGGAGTTCGATATGAAGAAGAAGACCAATGCACACCACTCCTATAAAAATCGAAGCCTCCAGATAATCTCCAACAGTAAACCGACCTCTTCCATCATTGCCCCGCAACCAGGCCAACCAACCTGGTTAGAAACGAACTCAGCATCAGATAGAACGAAGGCTCCAAGTCGTTACAATCGAAGGAGAGGGGGGGCAAAACGGGGAAGAGCAGAAACTAATTAATCAAGGGCAAACCGTGATTTCACTGTGCTGATGAGAAAAATGAGTTTGCAAAACAGTAAAAAGAGAGGGCATTTCCGTCATTTCACTGTGCTTAGGAACAGTGTTTAGTTGCATTGCGCTTTAGTATATATATAATTTTCTTATGTTGAACTCGTATTTTCAATGTTGGTATGTATCTCCATTATGATGAATGTATATTCTGTTGGATGGCATGTAACTCAAAAATGTTAATACGGCTGTGTGACTTGGCAATATTCTGTTCAGTATTTTGTGTTTGTGCATGCCAAATTGCATTTGTTAGTGCAATTTGAGATCTTTGTAGCTCCATCGGTTCTTAATTGTTATTCTCTTTCGTTAAGTTGTCTCTTACGAGGGGCTATCCTTTCTCAAAACAACTTCAACTATTGACTGCTACGCATGTAGAAGCTTGTTACTAGCAAGCCTCTTTCCACGAAGTGGTAAGTTTATCCCAGTTGTGAGAGATTGTTTTGTGAACTTTGAAGGCATGTCAAAATTAAGGGTAGCTGAAAGGAATGGAATCCTATCTTATTCTTTAAATGCTCAAATCAAAGTGAGTGAGTAGATTAATTATTGCTTGTATTAATACGTACTACGTTGTATGCCCTTCTTGTTCCCGGTATCTTTGCCTCTTTATTAAGGTTTAACGTGGTGAAAATCTGAGTAGTCTGGATTTGGTTTTTTATTAGCCTTAGTAGCACTCTTAACACTTGACCCTAAAAGCATGTGAAGCAGCTACATACAAGTTTTAATAAAGCTAGCAAACTTAGTTTTGATAGGTAATTATATTACATCTATCTTGTTGTAATTTTACTTAATGCAAAACTTCTGGTGTTCTTGTTATTTTACAGGCTTGGTTGTGCAGACAAGCATGACAATAAGGCTGATGTAAGTTGCAAGAAGGAAAATCTTCCTGAGTTTGATAGGTTCGTACTCTGTGTATGAAATCTGAATAGTTTAGATTTGGTTTTTTATCGGCCTTAGTAGCATTCTTATCAATTGAGCCTAAGAGCATGTGAAGAAGCAGCTACATAGAAGTTTTATTAAAGCAAACAAGCCTAGTTTTGATTTGTAATCATATTTGCTCTATCTTGGTTAATTTTTCTTGATGCAAAACTTCTGGTGATCTTGAGCTTGATAGGTTTGTACTCTGTGTATGCAACGAGTAATAAGGCTGATGATTTATTAATTGATGTTGTTTCTTTTCTAAAAAAGGGAGCGTGGGACAGTGAGGGGAAGCAATAGCAGCACTGATCAAATTGAAGACCAGGTACCTTTTGATGTTGATTAATGGCTTGCACGCGATATTTATAGTTTTTCTTTTGTGACATACATGCTGAAAATTATTGGTTTGATGTAAATGGAGAGGAAAAGAAGGTGCACAAAGCAAGCCTACTAGTCCTCTGCCTCAAGTTGATTCATCTGCAGCAGCAGCTCATCGCTGAAGATATGGTAGGTAAACCAAGCGTACAATACATACTATTTTGGTTTCATTGGATTTTTAATCTATTTGTTGTATATGTGCAAATTGAATGGGTTTGCCAAACCGTACACCAGCGGAACAAATATGATAGTCTTGTTTTCTGGATAAGGCTATTGTCTAAACTAGTATAATTTACTGGGGACTGAACTTGGGTGCAAAGGAATGGATGGTTTATCTTTCTTGTAATTTCTATTTCTTTTCAATTTTCTTTTATCAGATTTTAAATCATCCAGGCTCGAATGAGTAGTGGTTCCTTGAATTTCAGCGAGTCAATGAAAAACCAGATACATAAATCCACAATTTGATGTACAAATCACTTCTTCCTATCTCCTTCAAACTTGTCTTGATGTCAGTTTTTGTTTTTCCTGCCTTGTCCCATTCAATCTCATTTGGGCCTCTTGTTAACTGCATCTCTTTTTACTACTTTGTTAGTTTTAGAAAACTATTAAAAACAAGTGGCTTTGGAGCACCTCTTTCAGAAGTTTCCAGTGCTGGAACCAAGGAAATATAGATTGATCAAACACACATGAAGGGACACAGACCTTTCCTTGTTAGATTGGGAAGGAGCTTTTTTTCAGCTATTGTCGGCTGTGCCACGAAAGCTGGGACAAAATATTTCCGGCATACTCAAGGCTTTGTATATGGAATTTTGCATAAAATCTAGCTACTGGTGTATGAATATTGCATTAAACAGAAGCAGGAAACATGCAGCAACACAATTGTGTTTTACAAAGCACCTTGAGGGGACTTAGAGTCACCATACCTCAACTCTGTGGCAATCTATAGGTTAGATAAACTCACAATCTAATTAGAGAATTAACCTTTTCTAAGCAAAGCTTATAGCAACTACATCAACATGCTCACAAAGAGATTTCAGGTGATTGCAAAGCATAAGAGGAAAACAAAAGCTTCAGTATGAGTGGTATCCCTGAATGTAGGAGCTCTCAACATCTGAGTTTGGGCTTCCCATTTCAGGATCCTCAATAGCCACCC